TCATAATCGAATGGGTGTCTAGAATTTATGTATTTTGTCAGGTTTCGAGGTGCGTGCCCGGGGTTGACTTCTTGGTTTTGGTTAAAAATCTTAGATTTATCGTATGGAATGAATTCATGTAGCTTGTATTGATTATAATAAAATGTTTGTGACTAGATTCGAGTTGTTCGGAGGATCATTCGCTAAGAAAGGTCTTGTTGGAGTAGCGAGTTGTACGTTTTGAGGTAAGTCACATTTCTAAACTTGGAATTGAAGGTAATTATCCCTCGAAAATATGTTATTTGTGTTGTGTTGGGGTGACGGGCGTGTGGGCATGCACTGTAGTAACCATGATCCGGGTGGCATTTTTGTATGGAGTTGCTATCAAGTCTTGTTTTATCCGTGTAATCCCTACTTGTTAGAGTAATTGAACTGTGATTCATATTAGAAATCATGTTAGGCTATGTGCTTATTCGGTTGTGACCTAATGAGGCTATTTCTATTATTTTTGAGTTATTAACTTTAACTGCAATTATGTACTCAGTCATAATTCTTCATTTGTATATCATATATCAGTCTCTGTTATCATTCACTATTACATTACATGTTATCATTATTTGGGCTGACAGGTACGAGATCTGCGAGCCCTTGAGACTTGAGATATTGATGATTGCGTTGGTCTTGAGAGCCAGTTTGTGAGTGTTATTGTGGATCTGGCTGCACGCTGCAGCATGCCTTATTGGCTTATTTATTATTGTGGATCGGGCTGCACGCCGCAACAGGCCTTATAGGCTTTATATTAGCGCCTGGGCAGGATCCACCCCTCCAGAGTCTGACATACTAGCAGTGTACGCAGGAACAATGATGTATATATACACGTGCTTTGGTGAGGGGCTTAGATGCCAGGCCCCCGTACAATACTGAGTGTTTGTGTGTGGATTGTATGGGCATTTGGTAGTCATATTGAGTATTTATGAGAGAGTGAGTATTTGGGGATACCACCATGAAATCATACAATTGACATGCATATTTTACATGTAGGCATAGAGATATACCATTTCTCATTCTAGCTATACTTGACATGTTCTTATCACTGATGGTCTTTAAATGTTAACTTGAAATCATGTCTAAATTTCTATACCCTGAATGAGCTGATCTGGAAATTTATCTGAGTTATTTATTATCATTGTCATTATTATACCTGTGTTGTCATCATATTGGTTCTGACTGTATCCTTATGAACTCGTCATTGCTTTCAGCTCAAGGTTACTTATTGAGTACATGAGGTCAGTTGTATTCATACTATACTTTGCACTTCATGTGCAAATCTAGGTACATCTGGACGAGGTGATTACTAGATCCATGCTAGTACCTGCTCGGAGACTTAGAGGTAGCTGTTATGATGCCCGCATACCTTGACTCTCCTTCCTTTTATTTTCTGTAGTACTGTTCTATTACTCAGGCAGTTGTACTAGAACTTTGGTTATGTTTATTCTTAGTAGTACTCATGTACTCGTTGACATCAAGTTTTGGGGTGGTTGTAGTAGCATTTCAGTTATTTTTATCAGATGTTTATGACATTTTCTATTATTGAGCTTATTAAAACATGCTTTATTCAAATGTTTAGTTGTTATGTGATTGTTGGTGTGCCTAGCATGTGTGTTAGGTGTCATCACGATAGGTTGAGATTTTGGGTCGTGACAATAAGTGCGTAGAGAACTGGCCTTACAAAATTCTCCTCGGACCAGCTAATATTTCACACTTATCTAGGTGATTTCTAAATGTGTCATCCTATAGATACACTATTTTATATACCCCGTATCAAATTTAGAAACCATTAAAAAGTATTAATGCTTTATCCTTGGTACTGAACATTGTCTCATCACGAGAGTGGACTAAATTATTTTTGTATTTGACAATGTTGAACCGTCATTAATGACTTTATTTGATCTCCTTGAACCTAGATCTTGGGATCTCCAGTCTTCTAGGTAAAGTTACCGCCACAATAATTTGTCATCAGCCATAGTCTCATTCTCATCGATAATCTTTCAACTACCTCTCTAGTTAGGCCTTTCGTAAGTGGATCCATCACATTATCCCTTGAGTTCGCGTGTCAATCGTGATAATTCCTCTAGAGAGTAATTGCCTAACGGTTTTATTTCTTCGTTGTATATGATGAGATTTTCCGTTATACATAATGCTCTAAATCTTTTCGATTGTTGCATGACTATCGCAATATATATCCATGTTGATACCAACGATTATGTGACTCACATGGTAAAGTTTCTCTTTATTTAATTGTAACGACCCGGCCAGTTATTTTGAATATTACAACCTCATTCACCTATTTACTGCTCAATTTGTGCTTTATAGTTTTTATGTTACTTGCCGGGATAATTGGTTCGGGTCCGGTAAGGTTTCGCAATGAATTGATACACTTAGTCTCAAAGATGAAAACTTAAGTTGAAAAGGTTGACTGGATGTTGATTTATGTGTAAACGACCCCGGAATAGAGTTTTGATGATTCCAATAGCTTTGTATTGTGATTATGGACTTAGGAGCATATCCGAAAAATTATTTGGAAGTTCGAAGTAAAATTAGGCTTGAAATGGCGAAAATAGAAAATTTAAGTTTGGAAGTTTGACGGGGAGTTGACTTTTTAATATCGGAATCTAGTTTTGAAAATTTTCATAGGTCTGTTATGTCATTTATGACTTGTGTGAAAAATTTAAGGTCAATCGGATTCGATTTGACAGGTTTCGACATCGAATGTAGAAGATGGAAATTAATAGTTTTTATTAGGATTGAATTGGGGTGCGATTCGTGTTTTTAGTGTTGCTTGATGTGTTTTAAAGACTCGACTAAGTTCGTATGATATTTTAGGACTTATTTGTATATTTGGTTGAGGTCCCGGGGGCCTCGGGTAAGTTTCTGATGGTTAACAAATCAAATTTAGACTTAGAACAAAGTTGGAAAATTTGCTGCCTACTGATGGAACCGCACCTGCAGAAATTATCTTGTAGGTGCTAGCTCGCAGAAGCGCACCTGGGTGCACAGAAGCGACATTGGCTTGGCAAGGGCCGGGATCGCAGATGCACGTGATTGACCGCAGAAGCAGTTGCACACCTGCAACACATCCATCGTAGAAGCAGAAATGTTTGACCGCAAAAGCGAGTCCGCAAAAGCGGAACCGCAGATGCGGTTAAAAATTTTGCAAAAGCGGAACCTCTAGGCACTGTACAAAAACAGAGGGGTCTGAGATTTTCTCATTTTTTGGACATTTTCAACACGGGTTGAGGTGATGTTTGAGAGAGAATTCATGCGAAATCTTGAGGTATGTCACTTGTGATCATTGTTAGTCAATAATATTGAATTATCATCGATTATTCCGACTAGATTACGTATTTTTTAGGAGTAGTTAGAGGATTTGGACCTAGGGATTGGAAAATAAGATTTGAGGATTTGAAGGTCGAGTTATTGTCGGAATTTGGTATGGTTGGACTCGGGGTTGAATGGGCGTTCATATTTTGTAACGTTTGTCGGGTTCCAAGATGTGGCCCCCACTAGTGATTTTTGAGTCGAATTTCGGATTTTGTTAGAAAATTAGTATTTTCATATGGAATTAATTCCTATAATTTGTATTGACTAAATCAAATTAATTGTGATTAGATTCGAGGCGTTCGGAGGCTGACTCGCGAGGCAAAGGCATAATGGAGTAAATAATTACACGGTTTGAGGTATGTAACATTTCTAAATTTGGTTCTGAGGGTTTAAATCCCTGAATTACGTGTTATATGAATTGATTGGAGGTGAGCACATGCTAAGTGATGGGCGTGTGGGCGTGCACCATGAAAATTATAACTTAATTGATTCCGTGGAGTTTCATAATTAAATAAATGTCATTATCCACATATCCTCCACGTGTTAGAGAAATTGAGCTGAGACTCATATTAAAAATAATGTTTAGGCTACGTGCCGATATTTTTGGGACCCACAGGATCGTCTTGCTGTTGAATTAATTATTTTAAAATGTAAATTTCATACTTAGTCATGTTCATCCATCTGTGAGGATACTTATGGGATCAAGTTGTGCGCTGCAACATGCCATATTGCCTTTATATATATTATTATTATGTCTATCGGGGTTGCATGCTGCAACATGCCTTATAGGCTTTATTATTGGCTTTATATAGCGCTTGGGCTGAAGGAGCCCCTCCGGAGTCTGCACCTCTACAGTGAGCACAACTGATATTTATAATTGGAATGGATTTTCCAAGACATGAAGTTGCCTTCTATTTTTTTTATAATATGGATGGATCTTCCCCGGGCATGGATCTTTCCCAAAATATTTATACCAGTTGGGGCTGGATTGGTCTTATACAGTACTGACACTACTAGAAATCACCCTTATTGTGTCGACCAAAGTCGCTACAAAATCCCGGCTAGTCGCTGCTAAATGGTATCAGTGGCGACTTTTGTATTGTCATAAGCACAACCGTAACTGAAAGTTATTTGTGACGACATTTGAAGTCGCCGCTAAAAGAACATATTTTGCGGCAACATAGTTGCCACAAAAGGTTTAAAATAATTCTACAAAAAATTGTTCCACAAGAACAAATATTAGATGGGATGCCACTGTATATTCACCTTTAGCAGCGACTAGCATCGCCACAAACACATATATGTTCAGTGGCAAGATTATGTCGCCACTATAAATGGCTTTTCGTAGCGACGGGTGTCGCCACAAAAGATTAAACCATGAAAGACACAATATATTTCGGTAGCAACTAAAGTTGTTGCAAAAGAAAAAAACCTACAGTGAAAACTTTTATATCGCAACAATTACTAATTTGTTGTGGCAAAACTATGTCTCCACTAAAACTTATTTTCTCATCAACTGTAATGACCAAAATTATATATATTTTCATGCTAGTTGGAACCTAATTCTCTAAAATTTTATATAGGGATATTCATATCAATTGACTACCAATATTATTTAACAAACACCAAATGAATTTCTCAAGCCGAATATTATAAATATTATCATTACTAAAAAGTCAATTACATATATACTACACGACACTTCATTGTGCATTGTAATTGTACGCATATACATATCCCAAAAAAAATAAAATATTAAGTGACATGTAGCTGCTCTTTGCTCGATACCATCCTTGAATGATACCACTGTTTATGTGTCTTGTCCCTGCTAGACAAAAGCAATATATATAAGGAACATAATGAGATTTGTTATATCCAAAAACATGCATAAACGAATAAAGTACAAGCTAATACATTAGTATAACACAAAGTAAATTTGTTCTATGCTATTTCAATTGTGAAATGAAATGGCACAAGTGTGAGAACATAAGTTTTGAGGCAGCAAAAGAATGAGAATACAACAGTTGCACGAAAGCCGGATAAAGTAGAGGCATTGGACAATGCGAGGAATAGAAGCCTCTTCCAACTTTAGCTCTACCCCTGTCCTAGCCTTAATTACCGAATTTCATGTGCTTATAATTTTTCATTCACTGAACCTACTTAAATAACTAATCTGCATTAACAACCAAGACAGTCCAAAACTGCCTGAACACTAATCTCAAATTTTTGTTACTGCATTTTTGCACATGCACTATCAGTTAAATAGCTACAAGAAGTTTAAAGAAATGACTATGAACTTTTCTATTCAGGTAAGCCAAGAAAAGGAGCCCACAAGGACCAAAATAAATTTCAAAAGATTAAGGAAATTGCCAACTCGCAAAAGCAATATTAATCAGAATACAGAAATAAACTCGAAAAGGTGCATCTAGTTTGCATCAATTAACATCAACATTGAACAATAAAACTTAAATACGCCCAATAGCAGAATAATATTTTATATATTTAATCTCTTGTTGTTTATTAGTAGCTCCGCTCAATCAGTAAAAATAATTTTCACAAAACAACAAAAAAAGAAAACTAACTTGCACAATTTTCAGCCCTGGAGAGCGATGCACAGTTTCTGCTACATTTCATGATGATTGTGTTTCTAAAGAAGGTATTTGGAGAGAGTTAGTAGATACTCGTCCGGTCTGTAAAGGTCCTTGACTCGGGTTACATGGTTGTCCTATCTCTACAGATGCACCAGATACGTGTCCGATATGTATGTGTGGCTGAGACGTCGCTCCAAAATTGTCACGTCCTTGAAACTTTTCACGGCCACAACTCGTCCCACCTCTCCCACGTTTTCCTCGTCTAGTTCCTTTCATTTCCTACAACATCACATAAAAAGAAAATGATTAATCAGACTAGAGAAATATTAATTCACTAATTTTACTTCACCACTAATTTTGTTATGAAATTAATGATTCAAACATTACGAATTAATTTCATTCAGTATAATTAGGACAAAAATACAGAGAACCTTTCAAAATAAGATGTAGACATAAAGTTTTAAGCATCACGAACTAATTTCATTGTAAATATAATAAGGACAAACACAGAGAACTTTCAACAATGAGATATAGACATAAAACTTCAAGCATCAGAAGAGAATCAAAAAAAGAAATTTTAATCAAGATATGTTAAGAGACTCTAAACATGGAGGAGAAATCTTTGAATGACTAATTCAGATAATCTCTGGTTCACCTAAACTTTAGAAGAGAATAAAATGAACTTATGGAAATGTTTCCAGTGAGAACATTCATCCACTGATCTTTCTACAATGAAAAAAGATCTCACAAGACCTTATGAGTCGGGATTAATGAAAAAGGATCTCACAAGACCTTATGAGTCATAGATAATCACGCTCAATCTATCTGCTGCTCACGTACAAGTTGTCACAAGTTTGAAAAGATACATTGACAGTTCCAAACATTTACTGGGGGTAGTATAAAGTTATGGTAAACCAATAAAGTTGTCAGTTTTCTCATCCTAGCAACATATATTACCCTTTTGTTTGTGCTATAGAAGAAAAGATTTATAGGCAGTTATACACTAATTCACTACTTTCTGATGCATTAATGTAGATGAAACACAATTCAGTAACACAGGAACTGTTAAAAGATAATAGTTGATTAGAAATGCATTAGGTAAGGGAAGTACGCTTTGACAGAAGCAGATGTACTTGTAGAAAATTTGTACTCTTTTAATTCTTGTTATTATGGTTATCCTCTGCCCAGAGTATTTGGATTGCATACAAGAATAACACAATAAAACAGTATACATTGTTGAAGACTAGTAAGACACACAAACAAGAAAACAGATGCATAGGGCAAGGTTGATCAGATACTTAGAGTGCCTCTCAAGCACCGTTAACAATATAGAAATACCTCTCGAGAACCACAAGAGACTCTAATTTCACCACATCATTCACAAAGAATTATTATGTTTTCTTATAATCATACAATAATATATGCCTGCCTTATAAAATTAAAAACTCCATGCCTACTAATTTAGGCACATAACCATATAAGAAGAAAATAAGAATAGAATGCCGACATGTAAAGGGTCTCTCAAGAAGAAGATTTTAACTTACCCAGGGAAATATATAGCTGAGATTCTATCAAGACAGAGAATTCACAATAACAACACCAAATACGCTTCAAATGATTCTTTCTGTGTGATTTTATTTTTGTTGTATTCCTATAGATTATCAAAGGGCTCAGAGAAATTTGAGATGAAATTTGAGAATACAAATGTGAAATTGCTAAAAAAAGAATAATTATCCCTAACTGCATGTTGAAAATTTGGTCTTAGAGAATCATTATAAAAAAAATTAAATGTAAATATATCTTATATAAATCTTTATGGGATCTTAGTTAGATATGAGATAGTAACAAATAAGAAGGAAAGGATGCACGAAATCGATTAGGAACAGAAATTGTTTCTTTGATTCTTCCTCTGTGAAATCGGTTGATTAAAATAGAGCAACTTCTTTCCCAAAAAAACGAAAAGATTAGATATTTCAACATACGTGACAAATGAGATTCACATTTTGATTTGAGAAATTTTGATTTGGCTGAAAATTTTGCCGAGGAGAGAGTTGATTCTAGAGAGAAGTTCAATTCTTTAGAGAGAGTTTTGTGCTTTCTATTCTTTCACTAGAGGAGAGTTTTGGGCATATGTTCCAGCAGACAATGTTTAATTAGGATAGGTATTTTTATTTTCTTTATTATTTTAAAAATAAAAATCTACTGTATAGGAGTGACCCAGTCGCTGCAAGAGAGATTTTATATACTTTTAAATATTATCTCATTTTTGGTCCTACATTAGTTTGCTTACGACGCATTTTTACGTACAAAAATATAGGGTGTAACAGTTTCATACCCTCAGCACTATATTTAGAAGAGTTACTTACCTCGAACAAGCCAATACCAATGCCGAGCAAGACAGTCGATGCTCCAAAGATGCCATCACGCGCGTTCCGACCTCCAAACGGCTCGAAACTAACCCAAAATGACTCAAGTACATCAAACAATGCTAAAGGAACCAATCACGATCGAAAAAGATCAAATCTTGAATCAAACGCCCAATATCGGCCAAAAGCCCAACCCGGGCCCGCACCTTGGAACCCGATAAAATTTACAAAATCCAACAACCCATTCAATTACGAGTCCAACCATACTAGTTTCACTCAAATCCAACTCCAATTCTACGTCAAAACTCAAAAATTCACATTATGAAACTTTAGGCCAAAACCCCCAATTTCCTCTTTAAAATTCACAATCGAATTACCAAAAACGAAGATAGATTCATGAAATATAGCCAAAACCGAGTAGAGAACACTTACCCCGATCCTTGTGATGAAAATTGCTCCAAAAGTCACCTCAATACGAGTCCCACATATCAAAATATGAAGAAAGAACCAAAACCTTGATTTATAGCTTCTGCCACCATTTTCGCATTTGTGGACAATTCATCACATCTGCGACCACCGTATTTGCGGAAAAATGCACGCATTTGCGAGCCAGGCCGCTTCTGCAATGGCAATGGTCGCATCTGCGATTGGGCAGGTGCGTCCAAGCACCCGCATCGACGGTCCTCAGGCCCAGCTCCCATCACGCTTCTGCGATGACGCTGCTGCTTTTGCGGCTCCGCACCACGCCGAACACTCCGCAGGTGCGGTCACACCAGAACCAGAAAAATTCCAGCCTTAGCCAAAACTTCCAAAATGCTTCGAACCTCGTCCGAAACTCACCCGAGCCCCTCGGGACCCCGTCTGAACATAAAAATAAGTCCCATAACATGATACAGACCTACTCGAGGCCTCAAAACACACATAACAACATCAAAACTACGAATCACAGCTCAAATCGAAATCTATGAACTTTGAACTTTCAAATTCAATAACTCGTGCAGAAACATAGCAAATCAACCCGGAATGAACCAAATTTTTGCACACAAGTCCCAAATGACAATACAAAGCTTCCAATTCTCGGAATCACAATCCGAATCTGATATCAAAAAGTCCACTCCCGGTCAAACTTTTCAAAAATCCAACTTCCGCCATTTCAAGCCAAATTCCACTACTGACCTCAAAATCACAATCTGGACGCGCTCCTAAGTCCAAAATCATCCAACGAACTTACCGGAACCATCAAAACTTCTTTCCGGGTTCAAATTCACAAAAAGTCAAACTTGGTCAACTCCCCCAATTTGGTAATTCCGAGTAACCTGAAAACCAAAGCCGACGATTCACATAAGTCATAATACAACATACGGATCTATTCATGCTCGTAAACTACCGAGCGAAGTGCAAATGCTCAAAATGACCGGTCGGGTCATTACATCGTCCTCGAACGTGTTTAGAGTTGTTCTCAAAGCCGTCAAACCGCCGTATAAACTTACCATGCACATACCCGGGGGTGATCCTACGTCACCCTATCCCATACAGGTCCGATAACACAACATAACTGAAATTTCTTAATTCAACCTAGCCCACAAACCTTAGAATCCAATTTCCAACATCCGAAATTTCTTATAAGATCTGAATCTCGCAACCTACACCCTGTATAAGTCTGAATAAGCTGTACCAAGCCGCAACCATAACCCAATATACAATCGCATGATATATCATATAACAAAGATACTTGTAGCAATGATTTCTAATCATAGTAACTGCTCAAAACAACCCAATGTCGATAATAAACCTCATATCAAACAAGACTCCATTCTAAAACCTTCGTACACTGCCGATGATAAAAGAAACACGCAGAACTCATAACAATTCATCAGATCAAACAGTCATGAAACTCCGTCTCCTTCGACAGGAACTATAGCAAATTTCTAGGCCGACTTTCGATATAATCCTTCCAACCATGTTATAATCAATTCTGATAGTATCCCGCAAGTTCAACAAGTACCACCATAACCAAAATGCTACGAACCCATCATACCTAGTAGAATCAAGACACATGAATCTAACACAAAGGATCAGATCTTAACATAACTCCGCTGCAATGCGTGACCCCATCCCAACACTGGTCCATATGAAATACTTCAGCCACCATGCTCAAAATCAATAACCACGCGAAAATCGACATCAAGTACCCAAAGTGCATTACCGTAACCACGGAGAGCAAATAACACAATACGACAACCCAACAAGAACATAGCCAACGCGCAATAAATCACGCAATACCCAAATACTGATCTTGCTCAAATTCCGCTATAAAGCCCAGTTAGAACCACACTGTGTGTGCATATAACTCACGAATCGCAACCCCTCGTAGCATAGAAGAGTAACTCACAGATCATTTCAGAACATGAAATGGTACATCCCTCAACAATAGTAATGTGGAGCCAACCAATCCGGCTCGGTTTAGAATACACATCCTAATTGGGCCTACCAATGGAACCCCAAATCAATTCTGGGCAGCGACAATTAGATAAATAACCCTTTGAAAGCCCACAATGACTGAATCACAACACATACTATTATCTGGCTAGCTTCGACCATGACTTCACAGTCCACAACCATGAAACAATCCTCTCCTGAGAACTCCCAGTCTCCAAATCCATAGAACACACGAATCATCATATCTGATCCCAACTCCACCGCCAGAATGTCTAACACATATCTCATACATGACCATTCCACGAAAAATACTTCTAAAATTCTTTCGTGCCACATAGCAAAATTTGAATATCAGCAGTTGATCAACCGGGAGAGTGCCGCAGTACCAGTGAAGTATCCATAATGAAAAACACATTGCCCCTATGAAATGTATACTATCAAGAAGACATACCAAATAGTAATATCATTTACCTAGTCATCTAAAACCATCCATGTTGCCTACGAATTTTATGACCTTCTCTTCTAAATGAACTGTTATCTCGCTCACGTAAATCTAAATCCCACGCAACACACCGCATATACCATGCCATCATATGAAAACTATGAGAACTTCATAGTCCACCCCGAGTCACAAGCAACTACATACTCAATTAGCCAAGGACCTTCCATTTAATTTCATCCAGGAAAAATTCACTATACACCACATGCTCCTCATGCCAACAGGAAATATACTCATCGAACTGTGGTAAAACCCATTGAGAACTCTTCAAAGTCTATTTGCACATAACCAAGCTATCAGAATCGAATCTCTCTAACTCAACTCAGCCACGCAGGTCGCCAAAACCCAAGAGCATTGCTACGAAACACCTATAGAGACTAGCCACATCATAAGTACCCAAAGAACCGATTATTTCCATTATTGTGCTGATCCAACCTATTACCAAGCTGTCCTATTTCTCCAAGTCCTTTCCAAATTGCCTTCAAATTGATACTTCTTCTTGCTAGAATACCACGATCCTTAACAAAAATTCACCATACAAGAGACCCTACTATAAAACCAAAACGCCCTAAGGCCCATAAGCCGTTGACTTCCCTTTTAAGCACCCCAAAGCACCACGAACGAGACACCCACTCTAAAGATACCTTATGTGAACCTAAAATGGTTTCCTTCACCTTCTTTATACTGAAATGCATAACCCACAATGATATAAAAAAATGCCATAAGTCTCAACACCGTCCAATGAAACTCTCAGTTTCTAGCCATACACAAATCTTGAAAATTCCAAATCACTACATATAAATCTTGAATCCATTAGAACCATTCTCGAGAGTCATCCACTCTACTCAAATCTCAATTAAACCAACCAAACAGACCAAACGGCATGTGCCCCATTAGCACACCAACACTCAAGGGAGTGACCCACACTCCTAGGCAACCAAGAAAATTCCTACTCCATGTATACTATTTCCTTCACGAATAACCACTCAATTATTTTATGATTCACATATACCCATAGAGTGTAATACAATATATATCCAGAAATTCCTTTACCCGAGTCATCCTCGATCTCGACCTCTGCAAGTCATAACTGATTCACCAGTATACCTCAAACCGAAACCAATACAACATATAACCGTGTAATCAACTCGTCGATAGCAGACTTCCCCACATGGCTCAAAGCCAATGAATAAAGCATCTGATAACTTACAATACCCATACGCTGTTGCTGCCAAAATTTCGCACTGAAATTCAATTAAATCCTTCATAAGCCCGAGTAACACAAACCATATCATACCTCAAATCACAAATATAACCTACTGGTAGAAAAGAAAGCCTCCACACAATATCATAAAATCACACATCCGTACATTACCTCGCAGGTTATTACTCACCTGCTTTGCCTCAAACTGACATCTCTCTATACCTTTCCACAGTTACAACTACTACGCAATCACTTAGTCTTCCTGATTCTGAACTCATCAACAAGAAATGAGAATCTACTTTACTCCACAACTAAACAACATGAGAGATCCCTCAACATACCCATAACTCGAGACCATACACCAAATCAAAACAGAAATCAAACACCCTATAGTCCTTGCTACATCTCAAGTAAACTCTTCTCGCCACATTCGAACAATCTGAACATATTTCGTAGTCACATCATACTTACCACATAGTCATCCAATATCAAATTCCACTAATAAGGACACCAACGGACCTATAAATCCCAAAAGCATGTGCTCACACAATCAAAATCTCTATGCTCAAGCTACAGTCAAAACCCAGCCTCAAGTC